GGTCTTACGGGTTTGGAACAACATGAGGGTGAGTAATTAACGACAAAATTTTCATTTTTGGGTGAACTATCCCTTTAAATGCAAATTGCCATTTAGGTTCTAACTGACTTGGATTCATCATAAATGCAACAAACTGGATGAAGAAGAAACCAATCAACCATTATTAGTCAAAAGGTAATAAATAGCTATATGTGTGCATACATGGCTTTATCAGAATGTTTGAGAGCAATGCCACGCCGAAATGCCAGCAGTGACGTGATGACGCTGTTCTTTTGTGACGTAAAGGAATCACTGAATCATTTTAACCGGTTCTTTAAAACGAATTGTTCTAAAGAATCGATTCGCGGAAATGGCATGCACTATATCACCCCACCTGTCGGATATTCATGGAAAAACACACGTACACACGTTTCAGTTATCGCTTGTTTATACTTTGGTTATCTGCCATCATAGATAACAAGCTTTTTAAATAGGTCTATGCTTTTGTTTTGTTTTTCAATTAAAATCAGTTTCGAAACGAATCTCTTTTGGTCTCTTGAGTGGAAGTGCAAAATCCGAAATATAACAAGGTGACACATGATACAGAAAAATCATAAATTTCCAATTGTCCAAATGTCAAGGCGTCTTATCACTGTATAGGTCCCATAAACTTGACATTTCAAAGTACGGAGTTTGTTGCTAAAACACAAGCTCACTCCGCACTTCCGCGGCTCTGCCCTCGATAACACGCCTCGGTGGGAAAGAAACATATGACGAGTGGCGTCGGGTCTTACGGTTGTCGGTATGACGGGTCTGCCTCACCGCGCGCGATTTTCTCCGGTGGAATGTACAGTCGTGCCGCCTGTGAGGGTACTTAAGGGTACAGCTGATGCCCGGAGGGAATAAAGGGAGGTAACCAAACTAGATGAGCCAGATACATTCAGCCTATAATGTCAACACATGATCTGCAGCAGTCAAGTTGTCAAAGCGGAGTGAAAGCCAGCGTGACTTGCGTTGTCTCAGATCAGGAGGGATTGTACACACAAACTGATAAATCACGGTAGGCTACAAAGTTTCTAAGTTCTTGGAGTTTTTACTACGTTTTCTTACTCATCTTCTCTCACACAAAAACTGCTTTTCCTACTTTTCTCTGTCTCAAACTGACCCTTATCATTCTTCGCAGACAACATTATGGAAGTCTTTAGCTTTAAGCGAACAGGTTGAAGTTCTTACGTAATTAGAAGAGCTTGTGTAAATATTAGTTTGCTTACAGTAAGATGTATCCGATGTAGTTTTAAAACAGTTACAAATTCTTTTACAGTCAAAGAATTATAACAAGATGCCAGTGGATTGAACATTGATTCAAGCATTGATCTCTTGTCTGGCACCACCCCAGTTATATAATACCTGTTGTTGCCTTGCACACACACAGAAATGCCTAGCTAAATAATCAAGGATTTAAGATTATTAAAAAATGTAATTGTTTCAGATGATTTTAAACACACCTCCACAATATCTAATGAGGTGTCACTGGTATTAATCTTTTGCTGAATGTCATCCCAACATGTCTCACCATGTTTATGGTAATACTTTAGCTCTTATGCAATTTGTTACACCCACATTGTCTAATTTTTTTATTTTTATAATAATAATAATTTTAACAAATGGTAATTTAGCCAAAATTAATATGTTCAGCATTATTAGGAGAAATACAGGAAAGTATTTTCTGTCTACTTGGCAACTACTGTAATCATTTTCTTTGCACATGTTGAGGTGAGACAAAACAAGTGAAATTTCACTCACTGAAAGATCACTGTCACGTGTCGATATACTAAGAAAACATCTATGGGTGTTCCTGTGAAGAATTTTTCTGAAGGGAGTGAACCTTAGTTTTTACTAAGTAGCTGCAGACATGTGGTGTCTGTTGAGAAAAACACTCTCCAGGTCTCTGTAGAATGTATTGTAGCAGTATTGTAATGCCGAAGCTTGATTAGTTTTCAGAATATAAGTGAACATGAGAAGAAACATCCTGGACCATTGGCTCAACACATCCTCAACAAGAAAGATTTAGAAACTAGAGCTACTGCTTCTTCACCACCATCATTGCAGTTAACAGGCCAGCAGAAAAGCAGCAGAGGTGAGTTTGCATGACTGGATTATCTGATACATTTGTTTTCAGACACAAATTTTGGGACATAACAGCTTATCATAAATGCATTAAATTCTGACTAAAAGTTTATTATTATGACATGCATTTAATGTCATATAAAGCATGCGTATATGCATATGTGTAACACTTCTCAACTGATCAGATTTGCAGATCAGGCAAATAATACTTCTCAGATCTAAGGAAGAC